GTCCTTCTGGCATGTCGTTAGGTATTTTGGGCTGGCCTAGGAGTTGCGCGTCGTTCTCAACATCGTCTGCTGGGCCGAGCTTTTCTTGCTGGGAAGCAGGTCCATGAGGGACCCCGGGTTTATGAACCCGATAGGAGCCCCCGAGACCCTGGGCGATTCTGATAGAATTGTTTGGGGGATTTTTCGTGTTGCCAGCGGGGGAATTTTTTGTTTCGTCAGCGGGTGCACCCGCGGGTGTAGCCCCCGAGCCCCTTGGCGATTCAGGTAGAATCACCCGGGGGGTATTTGTCAGCGGGCGTGTGTGTGTGAACCTTAGTGGGCGTAGCCTCTTCTTTTCTAGTTTCTGACCTATCGTTTCTGGAGAGCATGGACTTAGGTGTTTGGTCACGGCCGAGGGACTGGGTGAGACGGAGTTGTCAACTAGGGCGTCAGACGTGTCGAGGCTAGGCATAATGAGGGATTGGGTGAGCCGGAGTCACGGGATCTAGGCGCTGGGCGCAACGAGGGGATCGGGCGAGTCAAGGTCGTGGATCTAGGCATCGGACGTGCCGAGGCTGGGCGTAACGAGGGATCGGGCGAGCCGAAGTCGCGGAACCAACCACTGGGTGCAACGAGGGATCGGGGAAGTCAGAGTCCCGGATCTAGGAGTCGACGTGCCGAGGCTAGGCATAATGAGGGATCAGGCGAGCCGAGTCGTGGATCCAGGCGCTGGGCACAACGAGGGATTGGGCGAGTCAGAGTCGTGGATCCAGGTGTCGGACGTGCTAAGGCTGGGCGTAACGAGGGATTGGGCGAGCCAGAGTCGCGGATCCAGGAGCTGGGCGCAACGAGGGATCGGGCGAGCCAGAGTCATGGATCTAGGCGTCGGATGTGCCGAGGCTAGGCATAACGAGGGATCGGATGAGCTGGAGTCGCGGATCTAGGCGCTAAGCGCAACGAGGGATCGGGCGAGTCAGAGTCGCGGATCTAGGTGTCGGACATGCCGAGGTTGGGCGTAATGAGGGATCGGGTGAGCCAGAGTCATGGATCCAGGCGTCGGAACGTGTCGAGGCTAGGCGCAACGAGGGATCAGGCGAGCTAGAGTCATGGATCTAGGCGTCGGACATGCCGAGGCTGGGCGTAACGAGGGATCGGGCGAGCTGAGTCGCGGATCTAGGCGCTAGGTGCAATGAGAGATCGGGCGAGTCAGAGTCATGGATCTAGGCGTCGGACGTGTCGAGGTTGGGCGTAATGAGGGATCGGGCGAGCCGTAGTCGTGGATCTAGGCGTTGGGTGCAACGAGGGATCGGGTGAGTCGAGAGTCATGGATCCAGGCGTCGGACGTGCCGAGGCTAGGGCGTAATGAGGGATCGAGCGACCTGGAGTCACGGATCTAGGCGCTGGGCGTAATGAGGGATCGGGCGAGTCGGAGTCACGGATCTAGGCGTCAGACGTGCCGAGGCTGGGCGTAACGAGGGATCAGGTGAGCCGGAGTCACGGATCTAGGCGATGGGCGCAACGAGGGATCGAGCGAGCCGGAGTCGTGGATCCAGGCGTCGGATGTGCCGAGGTTGGGCGTAACGAGGGATCGGGCAAACCAAAGTCGCGGATCTAGGCGCTGGGCGCAACGAGGGATTGGGCGAGTCGAGTCATGGATCCAGACGTCGGACGTGCCGAGGCTAGGCGTAACGAGGGATCGGACGAGCCGGAGTTGCGGATCTAGGCGCTGGGCGCAACGAGGGATCGAGCGAGTCGGAGTCACGGATCTAGGCGTCAGACGTGCCGAGGCTGGGCGTAACGAGGGATCAGGCGAGCCGGAGTCACGGATCCAGGCGATGGGTGCAACGAGGGATCGGGTGAGCCGAAGTCGTGGATCCAGGCGTCGGACGTGCCGAGGCTGGGCGTAACGAGGGATCGGGCGAGCAGGAGTCACGGATCCAGGCGCTGGGCGCAATGAGGGATCGGGTGAGTCAGAGTCGCGGATCTAGGCGTCGAACGTGCCGATGTTGGGCGTAACGAGGGATCGGGCGAGCTGGAGTCGCGGATCTAGGCGCTGGGCGCAACGAGGGATCGGGCGAGTCAGAGTCGCGGATCCAGGCGTCGGACGTGCCGAGGCTGGGCGTAACGAGGGATCGAGCTAAGCCGAGTCACGGATCCAGGCGCTGGGCGCAACGAGGGATCGAGCGAGTCGGAGTTGAGGATCCAGGCGTCGGACGTGCCGAGGCTGGGCATAACGAGGGATCGGGCGAGCTAGAGTCACGGATCTAGGCGCTGGGCGCAACGAGGGGATCGGCGAGCCAGAGTCGTGGATCTAGGCGTCGAACGTGCCGAGGCTGGGCGTAACAAGGGATCGGGTGAGCCAAAGTCACGGATCCAGGCGCTGGGCGCAACAAGGGATCAGGCGAGTCAGAGTCGCGGATCCAGGCGTCGGACGTGCCGAAGCTAGATGTAACGAGGGATCGGGCGAACCAGAGTCGCGGATCCAGGCGCTGGGCGCAATGAGGGATCGGGCGAGTCAGAGTTGCAGATCCAGGTGTCGGACGTGCCGAGGCTAGGCGTAACGAGGGATCGGGCGAGCCAGAGTCGCGGATCCAGCGCCAGGGCGCAACGAGGGATTGGGCGAGTTGGAGTCACGGATCCAGGTGTCGAACGTGCCGAGGCTAGGCGTAACGAGGATCGGGCGAGCCAAAGTCGCGGATCCAGGCGCAACCGAGGCGTTGGGCGTCTTGAGCCCCTGAGCCCCGTTAGGCTAGGCAGGGGTTAGTTGAGTTTCGTGCGTTACCCCATCCGTGGTTTCCGCAACCGGAGGGGCTGAGCTAACGTCGCTTGCCTCGATGGCTCGAGTGACACGCTCGGTGAGCTCGCTTAACGAGCATGTTCGAGTGAAATCCGGGTCCGTTGTTCGTGACGGGGTCGGCATAGCCCTCATGTGGCATTCCACTGCTCCTTAACCTACGTCCCGACAGATGCCTGGGTCGTTCCGGAGACCGACCCAGGTGGCCCGCTGGCCTCTCCTCGATGGAGATTATGTGGGCATGGCTCGAGGTTATGATCGAACGAGAAGGTTGAGATGACCATGTCTGCTTTGGAATAGACTGGGCAAGGGCCGCTTGGGGCTCATCTGCATTTTCGCCCCTAGCTCTATTTGACGTGAGGCGGCCTTGAGCCCTTCATGGGCCAGCCTTCGAACCCCGATCGGTTGTTGCTCATGTTGAATGAGACAACTGCCGCTTCGTGACGCAACACGGAGCGTTGTGATGCATTTAACTGCATATGCGATGCTTCGGATGTATGGGATGAATGAATGCGTGCATAAATGAATGTGTGAATGTGTGTATGAGAATGGATGAATGATTGTTTATGCATTTAGAAAATTAAATAAAGTAAGGGGGATCGGTAATGTCACCTTGATGACTCGAGTGACGGGGTTTGAGGAGCTCCTATCGGATATGTCCGACCGGGATCCGTGCTCGTCGTTCGTGACGGAGTTGGCATGGCCCACATGGGGCATCTCTTTGCTCCTTATCTGTCTCTCGGCGTTCGCCTGAGCCGTCCGATCGACTCAAAAAGCCCATTGGTCTCTCCTGGGCGAAGATCCCGTAATCGGGCCTTTCCAAGTCCCGCCTGGGAAGGCGGAGGGCCGCCTGCGCGCAGTTGCGCCTTGTTTCTTACGCCCGGCGTGCGGTAGTGGTGGGCCATACCCAGGCCACGTCCCGTCTGACCAGGCGTCGTTCCGTCGGGTGCTTCCCATCGGTCAGGACGCGTAGTATATGTAAAATGGTGAAACAATAGGCAGTAGTATATGTACTATGAGCGAAGCCATACTTGGCTTTTTCACGTGATATAAATCTAAGCCAATCCAGGTCAAAGCTTCCATCTTGAGCTTTCTGTACATGATCGAGAAATTCCTGTAAAAAGGTAAAAGAATGCTTTTAGCACTTTCATCCCAAGAATAAGAAAGATAAATATGATGACAGGCTAGAAACCCTAGTAAGTGATAAAACTAATATTTCAATCACATCGTTGATAATCTTGTGGTTGTAAAATAGAGAAATACATTTGGTTGTATTGAATAAAGAGTCCACTGTAGATGATACAAGATGTATCAGTCATTTTCGTTAAAACCACAGAATATTAAACAGATACTACTACATCCATTCCCATACTTATAAAATGCCAAGCATCAAAATGTAATATGCCTTCCAACATTAAGTATTGTAAGTATATGCCAATTAGAATGCATAGATTAACATCAAATTTTGCAGCGACCAGCAAACTCATAACAATGCTCTTATAACACTTGAACAGCCTATCAGGGAGACTAGAGTTCTCACATTTTCTTCCTATAAGAGTTCATTTACCTTCTTCAGTTGGCATAAAAAATCATAACATATGGATGAAGTATATGTTTTGATGAAATAAATAATTTAAGCAAATAAATGTGTACAGTATTAATAAAAACAGCCAACAATAAAAAAAATCTCAGAAAATATCTGTGCACGGTGACTCTCCTGGGAAAGAACAGAACAAAAGACTGATATTTAATCAATTTGAGGTTTAGATTATAATATTATTTCTAATAGCACAACAGGCATGTGATGCACAAAGCTCATTCCGCTAAATACACATTTAAAAGAAACAACTCCATCTGAAGAAAGTTTCCCGTCTACAGAAATTTTGGATACAATTTTAGAAATTTATTCTTGCAACAAAAATGTTGGATATAACTTTATAAATATAATTTCGCTACAATTTTTTTAATAGGATTACAAATGTTGAGCATTAACTTTTTCAAAGATGAGTGCATTCATCACTTGGGGTAAGATAGTTATAAATATAGTGATGCCACAAAAAACTTGGACAAAATATTAGAAATAAGTAGATGGCAGTTTTTGTCTTGCAATAACATACCCGTATCCGCACAGACAAAATGTTATGCTGCCCCCCTGCATGCAATGCATTTTGCGACCTCAGAAAATGGCGCATTTAGAACTGATTCCCAATCTACAACATCACTTGTTTCAGTTCGACTTTTGCCCTTGTATCCTTTTTTTATATGCTTCCTCCCGTAACTCTTTCCAATTAGATGCTGTGTCTGGTTGTCGTAGTGAAGCTAAGATCTTTTTCAAGTTTGCTTCAGTGCATACTGGATTTCCAGATTTATCCTTCACTAAGTTCATAAGGTCACTGTTCCAAGTAGAAATGTTTTTCGCCTTCATACTAGCAGCGAAATTCCCTATAAGTCTATTGTAGTCTTCATCTTCAAAATAATGCCCTTTCACCTCTGTATCATAGTCAACTTCTTCCTCAGAATCAACGTATCCATCAAAATGTGAATCGATGAAGTCAAACGTATCAAATGCTTCATTTGAGTTCCTTGGAGGAAACTTTGCCGCTAGGTTCATAAAAGCTTGTCTATTTTCCATGGATAAGGAACGAAAAATGTAGGAAAGTGGAAAAAAGAGGAAATTAGTTCTGGTATAAAACATATGAACATTCTAAAATCATATTTATGGATCCTCATTTTACCTTGATAAATTATCAGCAGAATTCTGTGTAAGGAAAGTACCAACCGCAGAATCAATTAGGGATCCTCCCCACTGAGAATATTTTCTAGGCCCTGATGAAAGCAATTAAGAAATTAGAAACCATTTCATACTCATGTATCCCATAGAGACAGTAGGTTGTATGGCTTACTGATCCGATAAAACTAACTACTGTAGATGCAAGACATGATTTTTGTTCATAAAAATGTGACACTGTTGACAGCCAGGCAACAGGTGTTTGCTTCTCCATAGGTCTTCCCAATGTCTATGTTTGAATAACTGATGTTTGCTCAGAAAAAAATTGCATGCACACATTATTGGATCTTTGGTCACAATTTAGAAGCTCACATATGTACAATCTAAAAGAAGGAAAGAGAAATAGAGGAGTGGCATCTCAGTGAATAACTTCAACAAATGAAGTTAATGTCTCACTGGAAGAACTATTTCTTGATCTAGGCAAAAAATTATCTACAATATTTTTTTATTTTGTTCTGAGAAATATGAAATTGACTTAACTCTAAATTTCATTTTATCAGTTCACAATGCTTAGAGTTTTGTCAAGAAATCATTTTTCCCATTGACTCCACAAGATATTTTTCATTCTAGCTTTTTGACACAAATGGAGAAAAACTAAGCTTATGGAGTGACCTGCAATAGTGCAAGATTTCCTTAGCTTTTTGTGTTGTCACTTTTTATTAAAGGTAATGTGATCCTCTTTCTTGCATTTTGTATTTTGACACACGAAAGCATAAAAAGGGCCAGAATAATTACCTATTAGATCAAACATTTAAGCATGAATATATCCACATATTGTTCAAACGTACGCCGTGTTGTATCCCATTCAGGTCCGCTGCCAATATCAAACCCTTCAAAACTCTCACTGTCGCTCCTATCCCACTTTGTCAGAACAGCAAACACCCTCAATGTTTCATCAGTAAGGCCCAAAACCTTAGCTTGCAGTTTCCCATGATTTTGAGGGCATGGGATATCAAGTTCTGTTGAATACCGAAGTGGCTCAAGTGCAAAGGATGCCGCCTGGTAAGGCAAAAGTGCCAGCTGACCACTTTCCTTGTGTCCTACCATCAGTTTGCTCTTCTTCCCTCTCTTGCTCTTGCGCGTAGTCGGTTCACTGTTTAAACCATGAATCTTGGCAAGGGACTTCAAGTTACCCATCAGCTCGGCTCTGCTGAAACATGTTTTACATTCTGATGAATCCAAATCCAACTTGCGTCTTGCACTATTAGACCTGGCAGCAGCAACACGTTGATTACCATCCTCTGGCATTTTCTTCTTATTCTTCTTGACTGTACTGGGCGTGGTCACCTTGGGCTTCATCACTTTATCTTTGGCCACTTTGAGCCGCTGAACCCCCTTGGTCGACTTCTTCCCCCACCTCCGAGGTGTGGGCTCCACCTTCTCCGGAGTAGGAGTATGGGCAGTAGAAGCAGCACCTGCATCGCTGCCACTAGCAACACCTTCTTCCTGGTGCTGCTGCTGCTCTTGCTGTGCAAGATTGCCAGAGGACTCGCCCATCAGTGGAGGCAAGGTGCTGAACTCCTGCGTGCCCACCGGATCACAGTCCACTTGACCCAAATCCTCCGGCATGGCGGACTGAGAATGTTCCTGGGCATGCGACGGCACCGAGGCCAGGCAGTCGCTGTCCACCTTTCTGGGGCCAGCAGCCGCGCTGGTGTACAGAGCAGTGCAGCAAGAGCCATCTGCAGCGGTTGTGCCGGACGCCCGCATTGGCTTGCGGACAATGTCGTGTGTCGCCGGCGATATCCCTACGCCCTGATCCAGAAAAAAAAAATCCATAAGCTTACGGGCAGTGTTATTATTATGCTTAAAAACTAAACGGTAAACAGTTAAACCATCGTGGCCGTTTAAGCGGTAAAACAACCTTTTAACAAAAAAAAGATATACGGTCAATTAATAAAAGGAGAAAACTAACGGTCCCTAGACGGACTAAACGGTGGATTAATATGGTCAATTAAACGGAAACGACGTACTAACCGTACCTAGACGGACTAAACGGTCGATTAAACGGAAACGACGTACTAACGGTCCTCAGACGGACTAAACAGTCGAGTAGCTACAGAAATCACACACTTCGAGAGGAAAAAAAACGCGATTTTTCTCCGACTCGGCTAGACGGCTACTCTCTCCGACTCCGTTAGCACAGACACACATATTGACCGACAAATACTCATATTTTATAAGACTTTTAAAGATACATTGCTTTTACTATTTATGTATATCAAAGTACATACATTGCTTTTACTACAAATGTATATCTAAGTACATAGCTTTTATCTACAAAAGCCAAAACGTGGAGTAATAGATTGCAGCACAAGAACACCAAAACGAGCAATCCAAGTGAGCCAACAAGTGCAAGAGCATAAAAAACAACGTATGTGAAAGAGAAAGCGGGCCTTTTTTAAAGGGAAAATTGACTCTGTACCATTAAAAGACTGTATGTTTGGACGTGTACCATTAAAAGAATGAACTTGTGCTATGTACCATTAAAAGATTGCATCTCTTTGGATCTAGCACTTTCGTAAAGTCTCTGTTAACAGGGACATATATACCCCTGTCTCTTACAATACATGAGCCCAACAGAGATATATATGCTTATATAAAAGTGACATATTATAACACCTCAAAAAATTAGCATGAGCTCAACATCACCTATTAGAATATTATATTAGTAAGATATGGCATAACTTTAGCAGTACATAACATTGTTCACATCTAGATGCTTAACTGGGTTCTCTAGATCACATATAGCAACATAGTTAACAATACATTGGTTTAGAACAGAACACAACCAAGTTACACATGCTTAAACTAAGATAACTACTCAATTATAAGCCTACGGTTGATTGCTCCAGGTGAGATTGATGCCATCCTCCTTGTTGTCACACCTAGGCTTGTTGGAGAAAGGGAAGACATCCTCCTTGTGGTCACACCTACTGGACTTGCTGAAGAAAGAGATGCTACACCCCTTTTTATCACACCTGGGCTTGATGTTACTTTTGGATCATCAATAATGTTCAATGGTTTAGTAACTTCGGTGGAGGCTTCAACAGCTTTAGATTTTGTTTTCCTGTAAGGCACAAGTCGGGTTAGTGAAAGAACATATTCCATCACATATAAGACATGAAATGTTAGCGCTTTAGATTTCGTTTTCCTGTAAGGCACAAGTCGGGTTAGTGAAAGAACATATTCCATCACATATAAGACATGAAATGTTAGCATATTAAACATAGGCATGGTAAATTACTTTTTCTGTTTTTTTGGACGAGGGGTGAAAGTTCTTGTTCTAGTTCAGCTTGAGTTGCATAACAACCCTTCTCTATATGTCCAAATTGGAAGCACCTTTTGCATTGATATGGACCTCTTTTTCTTGGCTCTCCACTAGCCTTGATTCTTTGCTTCCTTGGTCTACCATCAGGCCTTTCTAATAGTGGAGGAACCACTTCAAAACCAGAGTCATTTTTTGGCCATTGAGATTTGTCACCCATTGGAGTGATCTCGAACTGATAAGCTACCTTGAACCTCTCTACTGAATAATAGTCATCCATATAGTCCTCTACTTTTAGTTGTCTAACTTTTCTAAATAAAAAGATAGCATGAGCATCTATTGCAGCATCTGAATAATATTCCTCCTTGCCCATCACATCTATTGCAGCAAGCATGTCCTTGTTCACTCCATCAGCTGCATCAGGAAACTCTTTCCCCTTTTCATGTCCACCCACTACCATAAACATCTTCACCTGATTCGATGACCTTAACAGGTCAAGAAGCTGAGCATCTGAAGTTAATTTGGAGTCCAAACCACTTTTTGGAACAACCCAAAAAGTCGTCTTTTGGTTGCTGCCCCATTTAAAATATGGATCCATATCTTTCTCCAGATCGATGAGTGCATATTCTTCTAGATCCACATTCCATTTTATGGTCCTATCCCGATTATAAAACTTTTTACCCTCATGAACAGTGAAGTAAGAGTTGACAGTAACCTCTAATCTACACCGATTCTTTAGATTTTTCCTACAATAAATCACACATGCATCGAAAATACATAGAACAAATGTAAGGAGCTGTTGACAATAATTTTATGTCCCATTTATTCACTTCACACAGGATTGGTCTAATTTGCACTTCACACATCCATGTATACTTATACATAAATACAAGAAAAATAGAGGAATTTAAGAGATGGACAGAGATTACCCTTCCGAACCCCAGCAAGATCCATCTACCTCAATCCCCCCCTCCAATTTCACTTCAATGTTCTCTAAAAATCATTAAAAAACTAGGGTTAGAAGCCATGAACCTGGTGATGGAGAGGGAGAGAGAGGAGGAGCGCACACCATGGACGAGAGGAGGAGGAGCGCCACCGAGGAAGAAGTGGGAGGCGCGCCTCCGACCGCCGGTCGCCGGAGGCCTAGAGCCTCCTACCAGCTGCTGTGGGTGTGCATGAGGAAGTGGTGTGCCTGTTGATTGCTGTGTGCGTGATGAGCATGTCGAGGTGTGTGTGATGGAAAGGACAAGGGCAAAAAGGACCATTCATAAATCCTTTGTTCACAAAAAAAAACTCCAAACTGATGTTTCAGAAGTTGATGGAATGCTAAAAATCAATAACGTTGCAATCTTTCAATAGTAAATAGTTAAGACTAAATCTTTTAATGGTACATATCTAAACATGTAATCTTTTAATGGTACATAGCTAATTTTCCCTCTCTCTTTTTTTTACTATATATACTCCCGACACCAGATTCACTAAGCAACGAAGGCATTAGCGGATTGCAGCAACAAACCAACAAGCGCAACAGCATGGGCAACCACAGATTAAACCAGCGAGAGCCAGAGGGAATAACAAAACCGAGCACAGCGAACTCACCAAGATCTGCCGCCGACTCTGCCTCTGCCTCCGCCACTGCAGGCGCCATGGCAACAGCGCCCGCGTGGGGAGCGAACCCAGCCGCTGCTGGGCCCTGGAGACGAAGTCGACGAGAAGAAGGGCGCGGACTTGGAGTCCACTCCACGACCCCGCTCCGCCCTGGCGTTGTTGATCCCGTGTTGCGGACGGCCAGAGTAAAGAAGGGGGGCTCTGTTTCCTTCCTTGAACCGCTCCGTCCGTCAGAACGGGAGGAGGAGATAATAAAAGAAGGAGAAGTTGCGAGGGAGGAGCGCTGCGGTTGTTCGTCCGTCCCGGCGGCGGCGGAGGGGACAAGTGGCGAGGCCGTGCCCCTGACTGGTGGGGACCGTGCGCCGTGGTTCCGTTGGACTCGCGCCGGTTCGGTTGATAGGGTCTAACGGATGGGATCAGGCAGGCTCAGCGTCGGCAATGAAGAGACCGCCGTCGCCGGTTGCCGAAACAAACAGAGAGGATGCCACTTCCTGTCACCGAGAAACCGGTTTGGTGTACACCTCCCCCTGCTCAGGCTGCCGCATCCGACTACACCTGGTGTAACAACCCAGAAATCCACACACCAAAAATCACAACTACAAAAAAAATTTCTTAAAACTCCCATGAGATGATGAGTGACATTGTAGGAACCAACCCTAAGAGTTGCATTAGAAGTAACCCAACCTAGGTCAACACATAAGCATAGCATGTCATATGTTGGTTATGGTTATTTAATTTCTATCAGATAGATGTTGCATACATGTTAACTTAAATTGTGATTTGGATTCTCATTGCTTTATGTTATGCTTAACAATTCCATAAAGTTATTATTAAACAAAATTCCCTAAACTCCAATGAACAAGTTACCTCAGTTTTAAATTTGAATTCTAAACCAAATTTGAATTTAAACAATGGAAAGGAAATGAGAAACATAAAGAAAAGAAGAAAGGGAGAAGAAGGCTCACAACCCAGCCGCTCGGCCAGCCAGCCCAGTGCGCGCACGTAGGCCCAGCAAGCAGGCCCAGGCTACCGCGGCCACCCGCGCGCCCAGCCCCGCCAGCTGCCGCTGCCACTTGGGCCCGCGCGTCAGCCGCGCACTGTTCACCCGCACGCCCCTCTTCCCTTCGCCGCAGTCGCTGCCAGCGAACCCCGCCTGTAGCACTCGGTTTTAAAGACAAAACCAGATACACTATATGTGAGCCCAGGAAGTCAAATCTCACATATAGCCACAAATCAGGATAATATCGAGAGACAATACTTATTACATAACGTATTAGTAAAAAGGAAAATAACCTCAGAGTAAAGATAGCAGAAAGTTGACTCCGATCTTCTGGCGAAGACTCCAAATTCACAGGGACGACTGACTAGTTGACCACAAGCCTAACTCCTCCAAAACCAGCAATCTGGTACCCATCCGGGATTTTTATCCAATGTATAGAAAATAAAGCAAGTGTAAGTACATGTCGTACTTAACAATTATATCATGGGGTTCATGAGGCTCAAAAGGGCTGACACTGGTTTACTGCGATTAGCTTTAATAGATCATCTTTTTAAGCAATTGAGTAGCAAAGGATTTATCATTCCCTTAAACACATGATCAGGTAAACATGAATAATGTATAGCATAAACAATTAATCATTAGAACCATTATCCATTAGTGATCATCTCTATTCCATAAGGGTCCAAGGCCGCTGATGTCCGTGAGCACGGCTGTTATAACAGTTTTATACTCTGCAGAGGTTGTACACGTTCACTATGAGTCGTGATTTACCCTTTCGCCTGAGGTGATCAGCCTCTTGACCCACTACCAAGGAAGGTAGGCAGGGTTCACTATGAAGCCTTTGAAAGGTTTGTCTAACAAGTTAGGGCCGCTAAGGTTTACCCATCAATAAGCATGAACCCCCCTCCAAGTAGTGACTAGCAAGTGCACCTACTTGGCAGACCGAGATCATACCCGTTGGAGCCCCTCTTGCGCCGTAAAGGTAACCGCTAACAAGCTAGAAAAGGTCCTCATACTGAGCTAAAGCCAGAGCCATATGGCCCTCACAGCTGTACTATAAGTCCCGGATGATCGCTTATAGATAAGTCCTTAGGGAGAGGAATCTGAAGCATATAAACACTCCAGCCCCCTGGTTCCATGTTACTAAAAAGTCATGTTTTAATGTTTATTGCATATATCATTAGTCAAGTTACAAGATCATGGTTTTGATTAAGCACTAGCAAAAACTATCCAATGCAATATCCCAAAGGTGTCAAGGTGCAAGATATCAAATATCTAGGATATCCTATTTGGCAATAAGGGAGACACATGCAATATGAATTAAGTGATTAAATGTGAATAGGTAACAAGGATAGTCCCATGCTATACTTGCCTTACACACCGATCCTTCGGTAAGCTTTATTCTTTGATGTCTTTCTTCTTCTTCTGGATCACCACGTATATCTCACCGACTGGACAATCGTAGAACACCACACAAACATCCATACACATACATGCATAGCATACAGTTGTATCTATATCAGAACAGTACACCAATCATAGAAAAATAAGTAAAATAGATTGATATACGATTCTACGCATCACTACGAACACATAGTCACGAGAGGCATGCTAATCGAAGCTATGGTTGAAAGTTACAACTACCGAGAGATTTGCCTTATACGTGGAAAAATAAACTATAGGCTTCATTTATGTTAACCATATGAATTCATGTACAAAAGATATTTTATAAACAATATGGATTGATTTAAGTCAATTTTAGATTTAAATTATAAAACAAAAGTAAATCAAATCTTATTTTATGTATAAAACCTAGTTGCATAATCGTTAATCAAGATATGATTTAAACCACGTTATTTTAGATATATCAATATAGTAAACACTATTGCTTACGCGTAGATCTCGTCGTTATGAAACAAACGCAACTTGAACGGATTTTTTTGGAGTTGAAATGAATAAGTTATGATTTAAACAAGTTTTACTTTGGTTAATTAATAGGTTAAATCTACTCATAAATTTCAAGTGTTGAAAACATGCCTAATAGTTGTATAAACATGTAGAATACGTAAATACGATCCTAACGCAATTTGAATGGATCAAATCGGACTTAAAACGCAAAAGTTACGCATGAAATAAGATTCAGTGGCATTCCTGTAAATATTTGAACTCAAATTTGAATTAAAACAATTAAAAAACTGAATTTAAATGTATTTTGGACTGGGCATACTATTTCTGGAAATGACAGGGACTTGAACGAATAAAAACAGGGCTGAAAAATAATTATTTTGAACTAATCAGGACTGCGGGTTGATTCACTAAAAACCGAGGGGCTATTTTGTAAAACAGGCGTGGCTTTGACTGGGGGTTTGACCCGGGCTGCTGACTGAGCGCCACGCGGCAGCCAGGGACTGGTGCGGTGCACCACGCGGCTTGGTGGACCGGCTAACGCGGCACGGTGCGCCGGGTCCACGAGTCTACGGTGGACCGGCCACTTAACCCCGAAGGGGTACGCAATCTTGACCGTTCAATCAACATCCGACGGCGCAGGGGTGAGGGCATGACAGTGGCTCGCCGGGGAAGAAGCCCATGGTGGCGGCGCCATGGCTGGCGATTCGGTGCTTGCGGAAACGACGTTCTAGGGCGCCATTTGACCATCTAGGGGCACGGAAAGATGGAGATGCTCACCGTGAGTCGTCTGGAGGGGAACGCGGCGTCCAGGAAGGCCTCGAGGGGGTGGTTCGTCGGCGGCGGCGGCTGGAGAGAGAAAGAGAGGGCGCGGTGAGGGCGAATCCGAGAAAACCAAGACCAAAACTTGAATTCGATGATACCTAATGCTTCGGGGAAACACGGCAGAGGTCATCGGCGCGTCGGCGTCGTGGATTGAGGCGCGGGTGAGGGAGATTGCCGGCGGCGGGGAGTTGCTGGACGCGAGCAGAGGAAAAGGGGAGAAGGGAGGCGCTCGGTTTGGATTTTATAGGCCGGACGGGCACGGCGTGGAAGGAAGGGGGAGCGGGGCGCGGCGATTTCCTGCCGTACGGGCGTGGGCGGCTTGCCTTGTAGGAGCGTCACCCAATTTCCATCTGGCGTCGCCATCGATGGGGAAGAAAGAAGGAAGGAGCGGAAGAAGAAGGAAGCGCTGGTGGCCGATGGGGCCGGCGGCAAGGTGAGAGGGAGAAGCGACGCGTGTCGAGCCCAAGGCCGACGAAGAGGGGGGCTGCCGATCAAGGGCCAGAGCGATGCCTTGAGAGAAAGGGAGAGTAACGTCTGTGGGCGTAAGGCGCTGGGCAGCAGCATGAGCCGAAGAAGCCGCCAGCCACTAGGCTGAAGGCGGAAGGGCTCATGGAGCAATGGTCTGCGTAGGCGAGGTGCAGTGCGCAAGGCGCTGCCGAGACAGTCAAGCAAGGGAGGGCTCGGGTGAGGAAGCAACGGCCCCGAGGCCGGAAATCGTGAAGGAGGGAAGGGATGGAATCTTTGGAGCGAAGGGGAAAAGAAGGGTGGGCCTTGGGCCAAATGAGAGAGAGGTTTTCATCTTCTTCTTCTTTTCAAAATCCTTTTCTATTTCTAAATTCTATTTCCTTTCTTAATTCAAAACAATTTCAAATGTGAACCAAATCAAGCATAAATATGATTTGAAATATACTTTCTAATTCCAACATAAATGAACCAATTTTTGGTAAGTTCCAAAAATAACTCTTTAAGTTCTTACATTTTCCAATTCCTTTTCTTTTTCTAATCTTCCAATTCTAAGCTAAATTCAAAACCAATTCGAGTATGGTTTCAAATATATTTTCCCTTTCAATAAAAATGGACAATTCTATTAAACTTTCCAAGATAAACTTTACAACTTTAAAAATACTTTTATTTTTTCTAATTTTCTTTTATTTCAAAGCCATTTTCAAACTCTTTTCAAAAACATTCCAATTTACTTTGGAGTTTTGGATCAACACCATCCATCACAATGAATAAGATGCAACAGCATGTATGCTCACACATGTTACTACCTTATGTTGAATTTTAAATTAATGAAAAAAATTTATTTC